CAGTGGACATCTATTGTTGAGCTGTTGTGAATTGCATTGCAGTAAACATGGATATATGGATATCTTCACTGTACACTATAATTCTTTTCAAGAAGTGATATACCTGAATCTTATCATAGTATTTACATATTTGAAGAACAATTTTACTGATTTTCATAGTGAATATATTAATTTACTTTTTTAAAGAATGTCACTGATATTTTAATTTTGCTTTCAATCTGTAGAACACTTTGGTAATATGGCCACTTCAAAAATATTAATTGTGCTCATCCATGAGTCTGAGGGATCTTTTCATCTAGTAGCTTCGATTTCTTCCTTCACTATAATATAAATTTCATTATATAGGTCTCACCTCTTTTGTTAGGCTAATTTGGAGGTATTTTTGAAGGTTTTGTAAATGGAAATGTTTTAATGATTTTTCAGTGGTTTCATTTTTGATATACAGAACAGCTATTGATTTTTGTATATTGGCTTCATATCCTCCCACTTTGCTGAATTTGTTTATCCAATTCAGAAACCTTCTGGTGGAACCTTTGACATTTTGTAAATAAAGAAAGACACTATCTTTGAGAATAATTTGACTTCTTCCTTACCTATTTAGATTGATTTATATCCCTTGTGTTTTTTGCTCTTACCTACTTGCTTTAGCTACACTTTCAAGTTGTATACTGAACAGGAGTAAGTAGAGTGGACACCCTTGGCTTATCCTTGACTTTGGGAGAAATGTGTTCAGTTTTTCCCCACTCAGCATTATGTTGGTTTCAGGGTTTATATGGCCTATGTTATGTTGAGGTACCATCCTGCTTCATTGAGCTTTGATAGTGCCGGCATGTGGAATTTTCTGAAAGGCTTTATATTTGTCAGTTTTCCCATCACTTGAAAAAAATCTGATATGTACCACTTAGAGGAGTATATTTGGCTTATGGTTTCAGAGAGTTCAGAACCTGGATGGCTGCCTCCATGGCAGAAATGGCGAGGCAAAGGTGCATGGTGGAAGAAAACTGCTCATCAGCTCATGGCATCCAAGTAGAAGAGTGAGGAAGAAAAACAGAACACTATTTCCTCCAAAGGCACTTTCCCAGGGACCTCTTTCAAACAGACCCCACCTCTTAACAATATTCAGCTATGAATTCATCAATAGGTCAATCCATTAACGAGTATAGCATTTCCATGATCTAATCACGTTCCAAAATCTCCACCTCTGAGCACAAGACTTTTGGGCGAAATTTTAGATCTAAGCCACAACAATATTTTTCTGCATTTTTTGAGATGATCATGTTATTTTTACCCTCATTTCTGTGGTATATTAATATTTTTTGATTTGTGTATGTTGAATCTTCTTTCCTTCCTTGGAATGTAACCAGCTTGTTCATGGAATAGGATACTTGTAATGTTGAATTTAGCTTGCAAGGACTTTACTGAGGATTTTTGCATCTATGGTGATCAAGAATATTCATCTAGTGCTGGCGATTTAGCTCAGTAGTCCCTCTGCCTTCCTCTCAAGTGCAAGGACCCAAGTTCAATCCCCAGTACCAAAAAAAAAAAGAAGATTTTTGTTGTAGAGTCTATATCAGATTTTAGTATTAAGGTAATACTGGCCTTATAGAATTAATTTGGAAGCATTTCTTTTTTATTGTGTAGAACAGTTTGAGTAACCACTGGTTCTGGTTTTATTCCATTGTGTTCTGAAAGGATACACAAAATTCTTAGAAGTTTTTTGTTTGTTTGTTTGTTTGTTTTTGTAACAGGGATCGAACTCTGGTCCTTGTGCTTGTGAGGCAGGCGACGGAACCACTGAGCTAAATCCCCGGCCCTCTTACAAGGTTCTTTATACTTTTTATAACTTGCACAGTGGCTGAAAATGTTACCCATTTTGAAGAAAGTTTCATCAACTGCTAAAAAATAATGTATATTCTGAAGTTGTTAGAATATTCCTAGGTATCTATTAATTGCATTTTTATAGCATAGTTAATTATGATGCTTCTTTATTATTATTATTTTTTGTTTAGATGACCTAATCTATCTGTAAGACTGTGGTATTGAAGTCACCTACTGTAATTGTATTAGGATCTATAACTTTATGCCTAATAGTTTTATGAAAGTGGTTATGCCAACATTCAATACATACAGATTTGTCATTCTTGCATCTTCTTGATTATTCCCTTCATCACAATGTAGTGACTTGTCTCTAATGACTAATTTTAACTTGAATTCTTCATTGGAAGATATGAATATCCCCTGGCTCTGCTTGCTTTGGTTCTATTTGAACAAATATTATTTTCCGTCCTTTTATTTTCAGTCTGTGTATGTTTTGGCAGATGAGGTATGCTTCTTACTGGCAATGTACAGTTGGATCTTGTTTTTTAATCCAAATAACCCATCTGTTTCTTTCAACTGGGGGAATTTATACCATTTAGATTCAGGGTTATTAAAATGCATGTAATAATTCTTGTCATTCTGTTGATTTTTTTCTGATGTTTGTTTTTTATTCTTTCCTCATATTGACTTGCTTATCTACTCTTTCTTGTTTGTGCATAGTGTTCCTTTAAGTACATTTGTAATTCTAGCTTAACAGTCATAAATTCCTTTAGTTTCTACTTGTGTTGTAAGAACTTTATTGCTCCTCCAATTCTGAAGGATAGTATTGCTCAATGTAGTGATCTAGTTTGGCAGTTTGTTCAGGTCTTGTAAAACATTCCATTCCCCTTTGACCCTCAGAATTTCTATGGTTTACCTTTGTAACTATTTTATTGAAATTAGCCACACACTATTTGAACGTATAGTGCATAAACCATGCAAATATGAAAAAAATATAACTACATTAGGTGGTGTTATGAGTAGATAAAGGAAAATGGTATGGTCTTTATTATTATCATTGGAAAATTACCAGTAGTTTGCCCTACAAAACTGGTGTTTAGAAGAGAAAACTTTTTACAAGCATAACTTTTTGTTAAGCAGAAAAATTCGTTTTTCATTTGAAGCTGGTGACAAAGATACTGAGCCCAATTTTGAAACATTGGCTTTGTTCCCATCTTCTGTCTCTGAGAACCTGAAGATAAAATGAATATAAAAAAAAACACATACGCAGAGGACTGTAATATTGATTATGCCAAAGGAAGGCTGTAAAGACCCCATAATTGTC